TTTTTTTTTTCCCTCACTTTGTGATGCTTAGTTCTCCCTTTAATGCAGAGCATAACCTGTCAGCTATGAGCCTGACTCCCCATAGGGAGGGGCTGATCATTGTCAGTTTTTCAGCCTTCTGCCCTTGCACCCTCAGGTCTCGCCATGCCTCCTTCCCCCTTCCTGGCCTGCTTCCCACCATCTCTCACTATTCTCCACCACCCCCACTCCACCCCTACCCCCACCCCCACCTCCCCTTTAAAAAAAAAGTAAGTTTCAACGCAAAGATGGCTGGGAAGGGAGGCTTCTAGCCCAGAGGGTCCTGCAGCCCTGGGAGGCTGTGTGATGCCCAGAGGGGGAGGGGAGGAGCAGCCAGACAGTCCCAGTGCCAGGGCTGTACAACACGCTGCCGTCCTTTGTCTCCTCGAGCTCCAGGCCACATGGGTGAGGGGAAGGCTTCCCCCTCCTCCCAACCCCCCAGCCACACGCCACATTGCCCAGTGTTCTGGAAGCAGCCATCTGGGCTGGCCGCCTGTGCGAGACTGGGTGTGCTGGATGAGGGAGTGTAGGAACAGCCGCAGCACCCTTCCCTGCCATACCTCCCCACCTTGGCGTGGGGGCAGGAGATGGGGGGTGTCTTTTTAGCCACTTGGAAGTGGGAGGAAGAAGAGAAGGAGGGTAGAGCCTGGTGGGGGTTGGGGAAGGACCCTGATTTGGTTTGAGAGATAGGCTGGGTGATGCCGTTTCTCTGGCAGCTGGCTCTCTTGGGGAAGAGAGCAGACAGCTTTCCCCCAGGATGCTGAAACACACAGCTCTGACATGGCCACGTTCTCGGGGCCCCTAGCCCTGCTCACACTGTGCCACAGACATAGTGAGTATGGGGTCAGGAGAACACTGATAATTTGTAGAGAAGAGTGGCAAGGTGATGGGGGGCACCCCTACAGGCCATCTAATGACAATTACTCCCATTTATAGAGCATTTTATATCCCTTCTTTTTGTGATCACCACAAAGGAAAGACTGTAGTCCAGAAAAGGGAAGAGACATCTAAGGTCACAGGGCTTGGGACAGACAAAGTGGACATGACTTCAGGCAGGCTTTCTGACTCCTAGTCCTGTGCACTTTACACTATACCATGCTGCCTCCCAGAGGACACCCTTTTCCCCCTCCCCTCCCAAGTCCTACATTTAAAAGGGTCTATATAACAACTGTGTAGCGCTTTAAGATTTGCAAAGCTCTTTACATTTATATGTTAGCTCATTTGATCTCAGTGATAATTAAGGAATCATTTGTATTTACCTTTGGAACCTTCTTATAGCGTCCCAGATCCCCAAGCTGGAAGGGGCCTTAAAAACTATCTGAGTCAACCCCCTGCCTTCATACTGCTAGTAATAATAGCTAACATTTACGTAGCACTTTATGGGAAGCTAGGTGGCGCATGGATAGAGTACCAGACCTGGAGTCAGGGCTCATCTTCCTGAGTTCAAATCCAGCCTTAGATAACTTACATTGTATAACCTTGGGCAAGTCACTTTAACCCTGTTTGCCTCAGTTTCCTCATCTGTAAAATGAGCTGGAAAAGGAAATGGCAAATCACTCTAGTATCTTTGCTGAGAAGACCTCAAGTGAGATCATAAAGAGTCAGACATGACTGAAAAATGACTGAATATGTAGTACTTTAAAGTTTATAAATTGCTTTATATATGTGAACTTATTTGATTCTCACAATAACTCTGTTAGGTCAGTGCTTTTATTATCCCCATTCTATAGATGAGGAAACTGAGGCTGAGAGAGGTAAAGCAAATTGCCCAGGGTCATATAGCTAGTGAGAGCACGGGGCAGGATTCAAACTTAGGTCTTCTTGACTCCAGAGCCAGCACTCAATCTGTTCTGACACCTTAGGGACATTGTAGTCTTCCTTCCTCCAAAGATGGATTAACGGAGACCTAATCACTTGTCCAAGGACCCAGCCAGTTAGTGGCAGAGCTGGAACTAGGACTGGGTCTTCTTGATTCCCAGTTAAATGCAATTGCCGCAACACCATGCTTCCTCTCTGTTGGAGAGTCCATGCTGAACAAACTCTTTCCCTAACTTTCAGATAGCCTGAAGGGCTTGATTAGCTGAAATGAAAGAAAAGGGGAGAGATGGGAAAATGAGCCCTTTGGCTCTCCCTGCTCCAGTCTCACTTCCCTGTGGCTACCTGCCCAGCCCTGTCCCGTCCTCACTACCTCCCCCAAGCCTTTCACAAGGACAGAGAACATGCCTTCCTGGAACTCATTGAAGAGCATTCATCATGCCATGCACTATACAGCTGGACTGAACATAAAGAGGATGTGGTTAAGTGTTTAGAATGGGGCTCCCCATCAGATAATGATTATTGCAGGCCCTCATGCCTGGCTATGCAGGTGAAGCATTTGCCCAACACTTAGACACATCCCATCTTAGACACATCCCCGCCCCTGCTGTGCTGCACCCCCACCCCACCCACCTCTACCAGGCTATCAGGTGGTCTTTTACTATAAACTGTTTATCCCCACATCATTAGCAGCAGCACTGCAAAGCTATTTTGCTGCTTGCTACCTCAGTTTACCATATGTAAAATGAGGAATTAATGAATCAATGAGTTTTTATCGAGCACTTTCAATGTGCCTTTATTAAGCACCTACTATGTGCTCAACAACAACATGTCCAGAATTGTGCTGAGCACTGAGCATTTATATACAAATATAAAAATGAAGTAGCTTCTGGCCTCAGGGAGCTTACATTTTGACAAGGGATGGGGATGGAGTTCTAACATTAATTAATTAGGTTCTAATATCTATTATTACTCCCCTTCATATAAAGGATGTCCCAGTCACACTATACTAATCTTTGCATATTCTTATTTTGTCCTGTTCCATCTCTATGCCTTGGTTCACATGGTCCCCTAACCTTCGAATAGACTTCCATTCTTGTATGCTGACATCTCTTCCTTCCTTCAAAGCTCAATTCATGGGTCACCTCTTCTGAGAAGTCTTCCCTTACTACATCCTCTAAATCCCCACTTAAGGTGATCTCTCCCTCTAGATCTCTCACAGCTTGTTGCTTGGATCTCAGCTTTCCAATTGCTGCCACATTCTTGTACCGTATCTATTTGTGTACATCTCCTATGCACTTTCCCACCCTCTGCCCTCACTCCATCCCCTTAAGAAGTCAACCTCTTGACAGCAGGGAGGGACTTAATCATGTTTCATCTTTGTACCTTTAGTGCAGAGCAGGGTGCTTCTTGTACGTAAAAGGTGCTTAACAAATAAATATTTGCTTAATTGAACTGAATTGAGGGGTTGGACTGAATGGTCTCTAAAGTCCCTTAAAGCTCTGACATTCTGTGTTGTATGTTTTAACGTTCTGCATCCTAAAGGCCCTTCCAGCTGCAACACTGTCAGTCTGATATTTTTGCAGCTGCTCAAAAGCCCCAGAACCTTAAAAAACAAGGCAGTCCAAACCACCTTCTAATATCTTTAAAACAGGGATTGGTTAATTGTTTCCCATGTACTTGCTCATATGAATGAAATATTCCAGAAAGGCTTCCTTAACAGGAACAGCCAGTGTGACATCCAGAGGAGAGATGCTGGCTGAGGCTTGCTGTGACGCTCTCCAGCCTCACTCCTTCAGTGGGGAAGGAAGCAGCAGGCCTCTGGCAGGGGACCATTGCTATCCCAAACTCCTGGTGTTTGGGGAGCTCTCTCCTCCCCACAATTCTGTCGCTATGGAACCTGCTCCCTCTAATCCTTTTACCTGCTCTCAGGCTTTCAGGAAGGAAAAAATGCCAAATTCCTGGCCTAGCCTGGCCTGGCCAATTCAAAGCTGTCTTCCTCAAAACATAAAGCTCACTTGTGGCGAGAGGTGGTCCACCTTTGCATCGTCAACCAAGGTTAAAAGATCTCCTAAGAAGGAGATAGTACAAACTTAT